GTGGTTCCCGATGCACTGAGCAGTGCTTGGTGGTGTTGGATAATATTCCCTGAGATGGGGTGACCACTTAAGGAAAACAGAAGCATATCAGCTTTCCTCATAACTGTTACAGTCATAGGCTTTTTTTTACTAGGCTATTAGATGCACCAGAACAATTTGGAAGCTCCTGTAGGCTGAATTAAGGATGGCCATGTCTGGCTTTTCTGGATACTCTGCCTTGATTTGATTTTTACTTGACATTTCTCATTTATCACATCTCTTTATTTAATATCAGTGTTTGAAGGACTGGAATAGGTTTCTGGTGGTTCTTTAATATAATCTTCCCCAGGAAAGCCTCCCTAGTCCCAGTCTCATTTAACAAAGCAAATCATTTACTTACGATCGTCCCCTCTGCACATGGAATAAATGTTGCAAAGAGAAATCCCTTGCTTGTGTGCCTGTTTGGATTTACTTTCATGCTCTGTTGGGGTAAATTGTATTTGATTTTACCTTGAGTTTGGACACGCTCCTGGTTGGCAGGAAAGTCGTGCTGGATAAATGTGCTGGGGACAGCTCTCTTGATGCCAGTGCTGAGGGTTAGTGCAGCTGCAGACTGGGCTTGGGAATTGCCTGAGCCTGCAATGAAAGGAAAGGGAAGTTGCATCCGTACCCAGGGTGATGGGGATGGTTTTCTGTATCCCTGTGGGAGCTGACTGAAATAATATACAGGCAAGAAAGCTCTTCCTTGGAAATGCCAGGATATGTAGACATCTCTTATCCATAAGGTACTGGTGGGCTTTACCTGAGATCCCTCTGAGCTATCTTTAATGAGAAGGATATTTAACTTTGGAGTACTTCAGATGCCAAGGGAGGCCTGAAGGCTCTGAAGAGTAGAGTGCCCTCAGGGCATGTTGGTTGAGTGGCTGATGGGAAAAACACACAGTTGTCCCCGAAACAAAAAATACCTCTCTCCAAAGATGTGAGGAAACCAGGATGACTTTTGTGTCTGCACATTATTCTCACCAGCAGTTCTGTTTTACCTCTCACCAGAAAACCACAGATCATCTCAGCTATTTGTTTCTAATAGGCAAGGCTGCTCTTGAGGCATTAGTTGGTGAGTTTAGGGGCTGCATTTTCTTCTTGGTTTATGACACATTTCCAAGAATTACATGCATTTTATGGGGCTTAAAACATTTGTTAATGAAAGAGGAAGAGAGAGAGAGAGAGAGAGAGAGAGCTGAGATAGAATTCAGCAAGACAAAATTATACTTTTAGTGGAGTCATTTGTAATTTTAGAGTCTGAAAGGAAGAAGAAAATGTGGTGTCTTTGACTGGTGAGAGCCTGACTGGAACTGGGATTAGTTGCTCTAAACTAGCAGGAGCTGTTTCCAGAATGGGTTTGATGGAGCTCACTGCAAGACTGGATGATCCAGTGGTTGGGAGCAGAAGGCAAGTCTGGGGCACGCAGTATATCTGCCTTTGCAGCTTGGGAAATTGGGTTAATAGCAATCTTTTGGCATTAGTTGTTCTCAGACTAGCGTATAAACTGCTGGTGGACATTAAGGTCATGGACAAGCTCCTGTAGCTGATGTGTGCACTGCTGTGAGGCTCAGCATGTTGGAGGAGCTGTTCTGGGTGTGCTGGTCCAGGGGAAATGCAAAGAGCTGAGGCTGGTCTTTGGCCACAGCTCTGGACACTTGCAGATCTGGGCTGCTGACACAGGTAAAACCACTTCTCACACCTCTGCTAAGCCAACAACTGCGCAATTCAGCACTGGGCTCTGACGGTGTAACCCACCACCTGGGACAGATGATAAAGACCTTCCCCAGAGGCTCTGTGCTGAGTGAGACATGTCCTGGAGTGGTGGCACACGTGTGTTGGCAGGATGTGTGTCCCAGAGCAGTGGCAAAAACATGGTGGCAGGACATGTGTCCCAGTGACCAGAGCTGGAGAGAGGTGTTTGCTGTTCTCTCTGTCCTGCTGACTCAGTGCCTGATGAAGTCACTCAATACTTTATCTAGGGCAGCTTTGCCAAGCGGGTGAGCTCCTTGGGTGAAACACACCATGTGAGCCCAGTATTGCTAAACACGCTGCTGGTTGTTTAGATGGAGTATCCTAGGAGTTGTTCCCTTACTCCTTACCCCATTCCACGCTGGTGCAGTCACTGCGTGGGGAGGAGCTCAGTTTACTCATTGGAGTAACAGTGCTAGGACGATTTTTCATGGTGATTTTACAGATTGAGCTAATTTTTACACGGTAAGAGCTCCACAAAGCCCTCAACAAAAAGGGTAGGGGTTTGGTTACACACTCTGGGCGCCAGTCTGACTGTCCCAGGGGATGTAACTGTAATGGATGTTGCTCCCGGGCAGTGGATACATCTTGGTCTCTGCTGGTTTCAGAGCTGTGGTGGGGCTGAGATGCAGAATCGAGTCTGTGGTGGGGTATGAGTTTAGCATATCCCTGATAACCACTGATAACTGGATTTACCAACCTTCAGCCCGGGGTAGAGAAGTCAACATCATTCCTGCACATTTCCAAGGCCTTTGACACATCTGTGCTCCAAACACAGATAGAGTAATTGATGTGGTAAATGCTTGATGTGGTAAAAGCAGGTTCCAGAGCTTTTTCGCTGAAGAGAAGTGGATCTCTCATGTCTTTTATTCCTCATCTACCTCTCCCAGATACGGGGTGAGCTGCACCCCTTAACCCTGCTCAGGATCACTGCAGCCTCACTCCAAGTAGGAGGCTTAGTCTGTAAGGAGAAGGTAATGTCTTCTCTTGGATCAGCACACTCTATCTGGAGAAAGCAGACATGCTTTTGAGCAGCATGCCTTTCAAAAGCAGCAGCTTTCAGCTAAATCTCACTTGGCCCAGTAAAAGATTTACCTTTCCTTACGAACCTCACACTGCTCATATCCTCAAACACTGGTGTTTCTTTTCAAGTCAGGGAACAGAAGGTTGTTTTCTTGCCTGCTTTCCCCCACTTGAGCATCTAATTCCCAGCAAGAGGGATTGCTGTCATGTTGCTGCAGTATTGTGGTCCTGGGATCCTGCTGCTGGATGTGGCCAGGAGGGCTCTGGTGAGCTCAGTCTGCTGGGGAGAAATGAAATCTCCCCATGCACTCTGTGCCAACCAGGGCTGACACTGCCCCTGGGAAGGTGCTCCCTTGAGCTGGCTGACAATAACCAGGCACAGTTAAAGCAGGGCTGTTTTTTCCATCACTGCAAGCCTGGATGTGGGATTCATTGGAAAAGCTGCCGTTGATGTGGCTTTGCCAGGTGTGCTTTTGGCAGAGATGCAGGAGCTTGTTCCCAGGACCCTTGGTGGCTTCTGCTTTCTTTCTTTCCAATAAAGTCACGGACCTCCATCAGGTAGCAGCAGCCAGGAGTAAAGCAGGCAGCCCCAGAGCAGGCCAGCGATGCTGTGCACGATCCCTGTCCCTGCGCAGACGTGCGCAGCTGGTGCTGCCTGCGATCCTGCCCTGTGGGGACGGAGAGCGTGGCACGTCTGGTCGATCAGCGCCTGCTCTCCCCTCTTCAGAGCTGGAGCTTCATCCTGCCTCTCCCCTTTCCATCTCTTCTTATTCCTGTTGTGCTTCCACTTGTTCTTCTCCCCATTTTTAGGACTGCTCTTCCACCACATATGTGGTTTGCTGCTCCTTCCTATAGGATGTGAGTCAGTCGTGATCTGCATTTAGTCCCCTTTGCAAGAGCTGGCTGGCTGCACTTATGTGTAGCTTATTGCTCCGACAGGAATTCACTTACAGGAGCCATGTAATCCCACGGGTACAGGGCTGGGTGGAGGCTTAGGAAACCTGAACCTTGCTGCCATCTGCCCTGGCAGGCTGCTGGTCACCGGGTAAGTCTCTTCCCCTTTCTGTATCTCAGATTTCCCCATCTGTACAAGGGACAATGCCACTTCCCTCTTTTGTAAAATGATTAACAACTATGGATGGAAAAAGGCAATTAAGAAGCCATGTGTTGTTAGGACTTGGACTCTGCTTTACATTGTGGAAAGGTTTTAATTTCTTCCCTTTCTGTGTGAGTGTTTTTGTTGTGTTCTGGACTGAAAAATGGAATAAGAAAAGGGAGAGGGGGGAGTTTTGGAAAAGACAGCACCAAGGCCAGGAAATATGTATGGCAAAGCAGAAATTAGGGCAAAGGGTATTTTGTTTTGATGCATATTAATGTAGATTTAAAAGCAATTAATTGAAAAAGGAGGAATTAACACGTTTGAAATGCCTTTTTAATGATGCATTGAAGCCAGCAGCGTACATGCCAAATTTCACACTGGCTGCCCGTTCCAGAGCCCAATTTACAGTGAACTCCTGGAAGACAGGCTGTGGGATGGAAAGGCTCTTGGCTAGCCTGCTAACTCCTGCCCCGGCCTCAGGCTGGCAGGGCACCGAGGACAGCCGAAAGGCCTTTTGGGAGCCCTGCTTCCTCCTCGCAGCGCCGGCTGGGCCTTGGCAGTGCTGGGCCCTGGTCACTGCTCCATCCCTTGCCGAATGTTCTAGGAGAGAGGAGTGGGAGATGGGGGTCTCTGGCAGCAGGGTTTGCCCTGGTACGGGGCAGAGGGGCAGTGCCACAGCTCCCGGCACAGATAGCTGGGCTGGCTGGTAAATCACCAGTCGCGTTTCTGCTCCGTGGCTTTGTTATGGGAACATTGATCTGTTGCTGGGATTAACCTCTCAGAGTTTCCAGTGGGTTGGTCTCGCAGTTATTAATGAAACTGGCTGGAACTTGTGTTGACCTTGGCAAAGGCCCCAGTTGGCTTGGAGGTAACTGGCAAAAGCATAATCTCTAATTGAGTAATCCAGGGCTGGGGGAGGGGAGCAGAGGGAGTGGACACGCAGCAGTGCTTTGAACTGGGAGAGCTCAGAGCTCCGACGGGATGCGTGGGAGTGGAGGGCTCAGAACGGCGCTGAGCACAGCGGCCGCCGAGGGAATTAGCAAGCAAAAGCGAGGCGGCATCTCAGATCCGGCACCCCAGGCTCCCTCTTGTAGAAAACAGCCCAGAATTCCAGCACCTCCCCGTGATTTATTGCTGTGGAACAATAGCGCAGAGGGGCTGGAGAATGGAAGGAGCTGTGAGTGTCGGCCGTCCCTGGACGCGTGTCCTCCTGTAGCCTCTTGTGTTTGCAGTGTGGATCACGCTGGGCTCTCCCTTCCCCACTGGGGGTTGTTTTTCACTTGGGAAAAAGAGTTCTGGGCTTGTTTCTTGGGCTTTTGGTGATCGTCTGGAAGCAGGGACCCAGCAATAGCTGGGCTGTCTTCCCTGGCCGTGCACCTCTGCCATGGGAGAGGGAGGTGCTTACTTGGCCAACTGTGGCCGTGCCCAAATCTTTTGGGGAAGGGGTGCCTGTCAGCAAGCGCTGCAGGACACCCAGGCAGAGGGATCTTGAGGAGCTGCAGTAGCACTGATGGACAGGGGACACACCCATGCTGCCAGCATCCTGTTGCTCCCTCCCAGTGAGACCTCTGCCAGTGTGCGGCTTGACCAACCCTGTGGAAGATGAAATGCCTCAAACACGTTGCCATGAAAAGAACAATTCTTGCCCCAAGGACTGTGGGTTGTTCGATGCAAAGCCTGCACACGCTGCGTGGTTCCCAACTGCTTCTTGGAGGAGCAGACTTCAGTGGAAATGGCTCTAACCTCAGGTCTGAGCAATGAAATGAAACCATTTTAGTGGGTACAAACACACCTACCTCTTTCCTGCTTTTGTCCTCCTTCCCCTGCGGAGAATGGCAGTTCTTGTTAACTCTCTGTGCAGCCATGACTGGGAGGCAGCTGGGCTCTCCCTGAGAAGCCGAGCCAGTGGAGTTGAGTGCCCATCAGGAGCGAGTGGAGTAGGGTTGTCAAGTCCAGGAGCTGTAGGAGGATCCTCCTCCAGTGTGTTTGACGTCCACCCATCTGCCGTGGGCTTGCTCTTGCTGTCGACTTGTGCCTGATAAAAATCTGTTTGCAAGAAATGGTTCGGTGGGGTAGGGAATTTACGTTAGGGCAGCAATGATTCAAAGCTATTTCTGGGAAGATGAGGGAGATGTTGGCATTCTCTGTCATTCCAAACATATTTAAAAGCTGAAATATTTGCATTGTTCACGTTGTCACAGCGCAAACACTTATGGCTGGATTTCTCCCACCCCCTGCTTTCCTCCCTGCTCTGAAGATCATTTCCAAATTGTGTGAGGATGAGTGTGAGTGTATTGGCTCCTGCTCACCTGCGTGTGAACACACACCTTTGGGAGTGTGTGCCTGCCATATGCAAGCAGAGTGGATCTCCTGCCATGCCCAGCAGTCCATTCCATCGCCCGCTGTGCAGTGGCTGTGCCAGGGTGGCTGTGAGGGGTTGTCAGCAGCCTGTGCTGTGCATCAGCGTGGGACGGGAAGCCAAGGGAACAAACAGCCCGAGGAGTGTTGTATCTGGAATCTCTGTCCTGTGCACGGGCTCATGCTGGTTTCATTTGAAAAACAGATGCTTTTGGGTGTTGCATAGTCCTTGTGAGATGTTCGGCTCCTCCAGCCAGCCCTTTTTGCAAGACAACTAGTTTTATTCCATTTCTCACCTGAAGTTCCTATGGCCAAAGAACTGAAGTATGGCCTGAGAGACTTGGATATGTCAGGGAAAGCCCTCATGGGCTGCGGAAACATTTCAGAAGCAGCATGTAAAAACCCTTGACCCTTCCCTGAGCCACCTGCAGCCTGGCTCTTCCCTGCCCTGGCTGCTCCAGCCTGTGCTGGTCCCTAAGCTACAGACAGCAGGGCTGAGCCTCAGTGCAGCTGGAAAATGAACAGGAGAACTGACAGTGCCTCAAGCACAGGTTGTTTCGCACTTCTTCGGCTCATTTGTGGTGATCGACATCCAAAACAACCTTTTAAATTGCCTTTCAAGCCACAGCAGTGGTGAAGGGCAATGTGATAAGGCTGACTGCTTCTCGGGAGCCTGCTTCATCATTTACATAATTGGACTTTTCTCTTCCACTCTGTCAATATTACAAGGCTCGCGCAGTGCGACATCTCACCTGATCTGCTGGAGGGAAAGAAAGTCCCTTGACTTTGTGTGCCTCACCCCTGTAATTGGAAGAAATATTGCCAGCTCTTTCTGCTTGCAACAGGGGGCAGCCTGGTGAGCTGGGTGTGCTGTGTGGGTTCAGGGAGACTTTTCTTCTCCATCTCTGAAGTGTTTATACATGTTACGTGTATCTATTTTATCTTCCATAGCAAGGATTCTAATGTGCCCTGTTATGTCCTGGACACGCAGGAGAGAGCAGAGCTAGTTTGCTATTTTGTCAGTCCTCAAGTGGGATTTAAAAAATAGGGTTGGTATGGCAGGAACTGGTACTGGTCTCCTCTGCATTGCTCCAGAGCACGGGTAAGGTGTGGGGTGAGGAGGGCTGTGCCAGCCACCGCCGCTGCGTGTGCTCAACCCATTTAGTACACTTGTATGAAAAAAGAACCCCTCACCTGGATTAAAGTTCTAGGGAAGAATTCAGTCCTGCTACTAACAGGGATGTCCTGGCTGTTTTCTTCTCCTGCTGCAATTTCAGCCTTATCTGGTTTTCTTCTCTTCCCCTGATTTTCTAGGAAGGGGTGTGGGTGCTGCTGGACATCTTGCAGATGAGCTCGGCTACCCTCCTTCTTCAGCAACTGTGCACACCCCTTCTCTCCAAGGGTCTTCCTGGGGAGGGCAAGAGGTTTGGTGGGAGCAGCTCAGGCATCTTCTCCATGAACATACAGCACTGAGCACATTTTTGGTGCTATACTTTTCCATGGTTAGGAAATGCAGCCTGTCTACTGTTCTGACTCACACCAGGAAAGCCAGTGAGTTGTGACACCCATCAGATTGATCCTGGGTGCTGTGTTTTGAGGAGGAGGGTATTTCATGCTAATACCTTCCTTCCCAGTGTGAGGTGGAAGCCTTGGAGGAGATGCAACAGCAATCGATGGTGTTTGCCTGCTGCTGCTGGAGGGGATGGAGTGGGGGAGTGATTTCAGAGATGGATTTGGCAGAGATGAGTTGCTGCTCTTTGTGCCTGTGGTGATGGAGCTGTAATAACATATTGAACATGGCAACAGCCCTTGCTAAAGCTCTGTGACTTCACGTTCGTGCTTCGTGGAGCCTCATCTCTTAACAACACCCTTAGCATCGATAACAAGAGAGGAGCTGTCGAGTGCCAAAGGGCCTAGTTAAAATCACTCGCTGAAAACCTCCTTTCTTTTTGGACCCAAACTTGCTTTTTAAACAGAAAAACTCTTTGGCTGTGTTTTAGGCAGAGAACATTCAGAGGGTTTTTTGGCTCTGCAGCTTCGTGCTGCATGGGGGGGGCCGGGGGGCGATGGACGCTGGTGTGTGTCAGGAATGCTGGCTGTGTGCTCGGCAAGCGGAGAGGGGTTGTTTTAGGACAAGCTGACAGGCCCTTGGCTTGTTCTGCTGCTCTCGAAAAATGTAATTCTAATTCTTGGCACCTTTTTCCAGGAGGATAAAGAGCGAGAGCGCAGTGGAGCCTGTTCCCTCTGCCCTTGGAAATGGGCTTTTACCCAGCAGCAGAGCTGGCTCAGGGTGGGAGCAATGTGCTCTCTCCAACCCCCAGTTTGGTGGATCAAAAGCAGAAATTAGTGGGGGAGAAGTAGCGTGGGGTTAAATGACCTGAACCACCTCCTCACAGTCTTGACCTCGATCTGGTTACTCTTTGGTCATCTCAGCTCTCTGACAGAGTATCTTCTGCAGGTGCCAGCATTCCACCCAGGTTCTGCTCACCTTAATCCTGGCTGAGGGCTGGCAGTCTCTTTAACCCTGTACCTTTTCCTGTGAGGAAACTGTTCTGTGGTGCTCTGTCCTCTGGCAGTGCCAAGCAGCAGAGGAGGAGATGGGCCATGGGTGTGGGGTTTCCCAGTCCTCTGCTGCAACCCAAGGGGTTCTCCCCGAGCTGCAGAGCCACAGGATCCTGCTCCAGTACATGCCTGCTAACCCCTGTATCCCTGCCTGTGCCTGCACAGTAACGCTTCCTTGGCTTGCCTTCGAGCAGCCTGCTCTGGTCACTGCCCAAACAGGGTCTGATTTCTTTCCTCCCTGTGCTGTTCCCTGAGGAGCAGCAGTGATCGTTTCTGCCTTCTGATCTCCACTTTGGATGCTGTCATTCCTGTGGCTGCTTAAGAAAGAGCCATTGCCTGGTGCAGGTCAAGCTGTCCCACGTGGTTATGCGACCGAACCAAGCACAGGCTTTTATTTCAGGTTGGTTTTCAGGTCTGTGCTATTTTATCTTGTGCCAGCCATCTCAGGTATGATGTAGAGCACATTGCCTGTAGCAGTTAATGTGTTTCTGCCTCGGCAGCAGAGAGAGTGGCAGATGTAAACACAGGAATGTTACAGTCCTTCAAACACTAAAAACTCCCAAAGAATAGGTGGGTGTGTGTATATAAGTATATGCAGTGCATTATATTAATGGAGAGAGATTTGTAAATTCATGCATTCATGAATGTTTCATGTGTATATACTTTTTTATAGGTTTTTAAGTAATTGATAAGCCTACATTTTTATATATATATATATACACATACACATATATATGCTGCCTCGTATATTTGTAAGCTGTGTTTTTTCAAAGGCTTCTTCTAGCCTCGTTCAGTGATCCTGCCTTCAGCAGACACAAGGAGAAGGGCTCCAGTCTCAAGCAAAGCTAAATATTGATTTGAGTCAATCTGGGTGCACTTGGAGACATCACTAGTGTTCATGAATGCAGCATAATCGCTGATTGGAGTGGGGAAATTTCATCATAAAGGCCCCAAAAGGGAGGTTTATTATTGCTTTCTTCCAAATGCCTGAATTTTATTAGCTTCAGTCATTCTTGGCAGGGCAGTGGAATGGGATTTTATAGTTAGCAAAGGAAAAGTAAACACAGTAATCATTTCACAGCCCTGTGCCTGCCAAACCAAGATGGAAATTCCAGCCTTGGTGGGAAGCTGCTGCTTTACTAACAGATAATAACAAATTCACTGTGGGCTTATTCTAGCTATGAGAGTTGAGATGTTCAGGTTTTTCTGTAACACCCTGATCTGGGGAGGCAGAGGTGCTTCATGCTTTTCTGCAGGAACAGCCTGGGCAGAGGTTTGTGGTTTGAGTAACTCCCACAGCCATTCACAGGTAGTAGAAATGGTGTTTCTGCTCTGAGCCTTTGGGAGCTGCTCTATCCCACGCTCTTGTCAGTATTTGGTTTTTCCTTGGTCAGTCTTGCTCTGGTTGCAGAGCTGAGCGATGCTCGAGGAGTGACACATTTGAGACGCCACAATGGTCCCTGCACTCTTTGACCATCTCTACCTGCTGAATGGGGGGAGGGATATCATGGAAAAAAAAATTCTCCATCTAAATCCAAAACTCTCATGAAAGGCTTGTTTTGCATGGTTTCCTGGGCTTGTTGAGGGCTTGGCTGCCAGCTCGGATCTGGACTCACGCCCGCCTGCGTTTCCTGGTGCTGGGGGACGTTGCTTCCTCCCACCTTCCTGCCCCGCCGGCGTGGGGATGGTGGTGGGGATGGCCTGCCTGCCACAGGATGCGGCCTCCTGATGGAAAAGCAGGCAGAGCAGTGAAGGAAATGGCTACTCAAACAAGCGGCGAATGTCGAGGCAGCCCCTTCCACGTGTCTGCACAATTATTAGAACAATAAACCACTGAGCGCAGCCGGCGGCGGGCTCTGATGGATGGTGCAGCTGACGGCTGCTGTGCACCACCCGTGCTCCCTGTCAGCACGGATCCTGCCGGGGTGGAGGGCCTTGATCCGTGCTACACCACCTCTTCCACGGCACCGAGATGGAAGTTGGTGCAAGCAGCTGGGGCCGTGTCCCCCATCCCCACCTGTGTGTGTCCCGAGGTGCTGCTTGTGGGGAGTTTGGGACAGTGACCAGTGGATGTATTTTGTGTGGCCATGGGGGCTTTCAGGCTCCTGGTGGATTCCTTGGGCAGTGGAGGGGCAGGCAGAGCATTGTCCCTATCGTGCCCCCCATGGTTTTTAGAGATGAGAGGTATTTGATGTCCAGCTTCATATACTTGAGAGCACAGCCAGGATGAATCTGTACATTAGGTGACCTGGAGCAAGGAAGTGGTGACATGCAGCTGGTGAGAGGAGCTCAGTGGATTGCTGTAGGAGCAGGTATTTCAGTTTTTTGAGCTGACACAGTTGGAAGAGGAGCTGCTGGCAGTGAGCAGGGGTTTGGTGCTGGGACTGTCACCCCATGCCCAATGTGCTGGGAGTCCCCAGCGTAGTTGTTGTCCCCAGGGGAGTTGTTGGTGATCCTGGCTTGGTGCATGGAAGAGGAGGTTTGAGTTCGTCCCACAGTGCACCTCAGCCACTGCTCAAACCATTTTATGTCTTGTTTGCATTTCCTTTTTCCGTCAGTCTGTCTCCTTCTTGGTGGGCAGCTTGGTCCCCAGGATTTGGGTAAAATAATTTTCGGTGGTGGTTTTGAAGGGGGAGGAGGAGCTGCCTTTAAGTGTATCTCACTTGTGGCAGTGGTTAAAAAGAGCTGTCTTCAGTCATTCCCTTCCCTCCCCTAAATTTGATGCCCTTTCAAGCCAAATTCCCAATATTGATGCTATGTGCCATCTTGATTAACTCCCAGACAAATCCCTGCTTCACAGGGCCACGGAGTGCTGCCCTATGTGTATCCTGCTGGGATGTGCATGGCTGAGGAGTCCCTGCTCCTCCTCGGCCTCCTGCCTCCTCCCTGGCAATAGGAGGAAATTTAAATGTTTCTGAAGAGCAACATTTCCATTTCAAAAGCTGTTCGTTCAAGTGCGTCTGGAGTGGGATTTCTCTCCCCCACTCCTCTCTGAATGGAAGCTTTAGAAGTCTCATTTCCTCTGCTTGATAACACCAGGCTGAGAAGGGCTTTTGTCTTTTCATTTCCCCTCAATTTTTTATTTTTAAATCAGTGAGGTTTGGAGAAGCTGCTGTGGTGGATTTTCCCTCCCCCGTGTTTGTCCGTGTGCTGGAGGATGCACCTGGCATCACCCAGTGAATGAGCTGGAGCTTCCTGGGGAACAGCCCCAAGCTGAGCAGGCACCCACCTGGGAGCACCCTGCCAGTTGCTCCTGGAAGCAGAGGAGGAGGTTTGCTGGCATGCTTATGCCACCCTGCCCTTTCCAGCTGTCTGAGCTGGGGCTTACATGCCCCAGCACCCCTGGACAGCACTGGGTGTCTTGGTGCTGAGCCTGGCTTAGGATCTGGCCCCATGTTTCGAACACACGGCACTGTAGTGGCTTTAATCCTGCTGACTGGTTGCCTGCCTGCTTTTTGGCTGACATAGCTTTTCCAGTTGGTGTGAAATTATATATTTTTAATGGGATGCTCAGAGGAGGGCATATATAAGGGGATGCAGTTGCCTGGCTGCCACTTCTGCAGGACTGATGAGTGTGGATGCAGGCGCTGTCCCAGCAGTGTGATGGCAGTTGTGCTGGTCACTGGAATATTTCACTGCTATAAAAAGGGATATTTTTCTGCAGAAGCCTTTTTTACAAAACTCTGGCATGCTTTTCATGTGGCATCTAGGGCTGGAGGGCTTTCTACCTACTCAAGGGCCAGCTGGGATTTGGCACAGACTGTTCCAACATCCTCTGTCGGAGGAAACATGCCTCCTGGGATTAACATAGACCTTGATGCTACATCCCTGCCTGGTTGATGTGCTGGAAAGACTTGGAATTTGCTTTGTTGCATGTGCCAGTTGGAAGAGGATGAGTGATATTGCCAAAAAAAAAAAATTAAAATGTTGGGAAGCTAAAGTTTTCAAAGGCACAGAGTGAGTGTTCTGTTCCCTTGAGGTTTGTTGGGTTGGCTGACAAGATGCTTTCCAGGTTGCTGGAGGAGGTTTAGGGATTGTGCCTGCACCCCCAGGCAGGGGACCCCTTCTGCCTCTCTGGGGGTCTCCCTAAAGAAACTCCCTGAGCAGCAGGCACAGAAGGAAATACAAAACCAGGAGAGAGGGACAGTCACGTGAGGCCATGTCACCACATCCCATGTTTCCAAG